CCTTTTAACGCACATACCCAAATATCTCAGGGCAGCCGTTGGCATCCCGGTAGTTGCGAACGGTGGCATTCGCACCCGTGAGGAAGCAGATCTCATGATGCAGGAGACCTACAAAGTTTTACGAACATTGTTTTGCTGCATGGCTTGTGGACTAAGCTGCACGCAACCAGTAGCAGCAGAACCTGAGCCTCATTGTTTCAGACTTTTCAGACGCTAGCGGCTAGCCTGCAAGGCAAGTTTGAATACAGGGTATTCTGATTTGCTTCAAAGCTGACTGCCCCGTGAAAATCGGATGCTACCTTTTGCAAAGTCAGAAAATGGCAGCCCCCGCCCAACTCGGAATTGAATTTACGGTAGCAGATACTTAGCCTGCAACATGATTACTGCGCCTTGCGTCAGCCATGGCCACCCGAATCATGTCCGGGAATGCATGTACCTGGTAAACACCTTCAGTATGTCAACATTCCCATGTGGGATGGCATCAAACTTTTCTGTCACATGCCCGTGGGTTGACCTCACACAAGCTGCGTTGACATCACGCAACCTTTGAGTGTGTTTCACGCGCACTGCTGACAGAGAGCCAACCCCATGTAAAATTTCTGCAATGCCTCGGGCGAGGGCCCTTGAAGCCTGCAAAGGGCTGAGCTTCGAAGTCTCTTGAATCTCATTGAAGTTTTGTTGGAAATTGAGCCCAAGTTTGAGATGCCAGAGGAGCTTCCATCAAACGATCAATCAAATGGGCATAGGACGATTCAAAGAAGAATGCCTTTGCCGTCAGCTTGCTTGTTTGGACTTATTCAAGGCAGTTTGAAAACAGCTGTTCCTCATGGACAATGGAAAAGCGCTGCAGTAGTACTGTTTTTCTCTCGGACACACATGACAAGCGCGCCGCACCCGCTCCCGATACTCATCAACATCTAAGCCACTTGTTTTGCCGGTCTAGGTAATTTGAGAAGGGGTGATATCATCATCCCTGAGGCCTGTTGCCTCTTCTCGAATATGTTGTTGTGCGTTTCCTGTTGGAGGAGACTGGCTGTGCCGGGGTCATGGTGGCCACCGCCCTGCTGATCAACCCAAGGCTTTTTGCCGAGCCATGTGAGAAGCACACAGTGGGCAAGGCCATCTCTGTGGCCCTGGAATACCTCCAGTTTCTGGATCGTTGTTGAGCAAAGCTTTCGCACAAAACTTTGAGTGTGTCAACCCAGCTGAGAACGGGCTTAGAACTATTCCAGCCCTGACCCAGGTTTGCGGAGCAGCATCTGCCAAGGCCCATCGTGCTCCGAAAACATTTCTGGTAACTTGGCTGCCTCGAGCCAGCCTGCAAGTTATTCAGCACATGCAGCTCTGGTCATGGAAGGTACTTCTTTCGGAACGTGCTTCTTAGCAGCTTACCTCAATGAGAGTCCAACCAGGTTACTCAGTCAGTCTTGGCCTGTTGCAAGCATCTCAGAAGATGCCGACGATGATGGCGGACTGGCTAGTGTGCGCGGGGAGAGGATGCCTCCATCACTGCTTGGCACGGAAGGGCACAAGTTCTATACCTTCATGTTGCCTGCTTTATCTTCAGCATCAGTTTCAATGTTTTCGTGCTCTGCGGTCAGAATGCTGTGGTCTTGCGTCTTGCCAGCTCTCAGGAACCAGCCTTTCCTGTGTTCAGTTCTTCAGTTCCGTGCAATCCTCCGCCTGATGGCCCACAAGCTCAATGTGGAGTCGTTGCCTCAAGCTTGATTATCTTTTGCAAAGAGGTTTTGCAGTCGGCCTAACGACAAGAACAGTCCAAGGCCATGGGTGAAGCTGATGGTGGAGTCCTTGGCAGGAGAAGTTCCGGTTCTAAGCATGGCGGAGGTTGTGGCCTCAGAGATTGCCGCCACTGCTGGAACAAGTCTGTCCTTTGGGAGTGCCGAGATCCGCCGCCTCAGTGGGACCTCCGTGGTTAACTTCACGAGCTTTGGCTGGACGTGGGCTAGTCGGATCAATTCCTGCGCAGGGTAGCTTCAAACAGCAATCAGGATTGGATAAGAGCCCCATAGACTCCCACTGGAACACTGAAACTGTACCCCTAGGATCCCCAACTTGCCCAAATTCCCTTGAATCAAATTCCCCCCCAGGTTTTTGAACCCGACCTGGAGTCCAGACCCCAAGCCGAAAGCAATGAGGAATTCAACTTCGTGTGAGGCTGGGCCTTGGGAGTGTGCAATGCTTTGCAAGCAGGGCTGTTGCATCTACAGCCTCAAGAACTTTCAAGATCTCTGCGAAGTATATTCCATGTTTCCAATTCAGCCTCTGCATGACCTGAAGTTAACGTCCTGAGTCCTGATCGTTACGCTACCTTGCGTAGTGGCAGGAGGGAGATGACTGGGAGCCAGATTGCAGCCTGCTCTGGGAGTGAGTCACGCTTTGCGGGGATTCTGCTTCTTGGTGTCGATTGAAGTACTGTTGTATCTGCAAAGGACAGCCCTGCTCTTCACGTCTTTGTTGTGGTCCCTGTGAACGTGAATGGGCTCACTGAATTATCCTGACAGGTGCCCACCTGGCAAGACTGCGAACTTTTCAGATCATGCAATGTCCAGATACTGCGAGTGTCACCTTCAATGTCCTGCAACGCTTTGCCTCCAGGCTCACTTTTTGGTTTGCGCGAACAGTTTGGGCTTGTTACTTGTTACTTGCTGAATGAACAGCAGTGGACTTTCTCTCTCGCTCTCCCTCCCTCTCTCTCTCTCTCTCTCTCTGTTGTATTGTAAATCATGGAGCCGAGGTGTACCACATCCGTGCGGAAAGCCGCCACCAAGCAGATGCATCCAGATGCATAATGTGGTTCTGACGCCGGCGACGGTCGGTCTGGTATATTCCTGCTGGTGAAGGTTTTGCAGAGTCCGATGTTGGCTCGTGGACTTTGCTCTCCGGCAATTTGTGGGCAGAGCCACCTCTGTCTTGCTCAAGATTCGATACTAGTGCCTGCAGCACAGCTCTCCAAACGGGATGTCTTTGCGAGATGCGGAGCTGATGGGGTGAGCGAGAGGATCAGGAGGCATGGCATTCTCAGCCACAAGACGAGTGGCACAAAAGGGCTTGACACATCGGCTCGGTGTGTAAAAAGGAGCATGGTCAACTGAACCTGAAAATCTTAGGATTCGCAGGGTGCAAATCGAAGTCCTACGATCTCGCAGCAGCAGGTAGCAGCATGTGAGGCAGCTGCTCAGCAAGTTGACTTGCAACAGGTTCGCGGAGACCTGCAGGGGTTCGCCCAGCTACGCATGGTCCAGAGCTTGGCAGACTTGTGAGACTGGTTGCCCATACTTGCTTGGCTGTAGTAGGGGCACATGCTGCATACTGCATTTCGCCGCTTGGCATCTAGCCTTGAGTGTCTGCGAAGTTCTGGTTGCAGCAGAAGGAGTGACGCTTAGAGGACATCCTGCGTGCGAAGCATATTGCACTGCCAGCATGCTTGTCCAAGTTGACAAGTTTCTCTAGAGGCCCATGTCGCGTAGTTTTGGTATTTCTTTTCATTTGCTTATGCCTCTATCACATGACCTAGAGATGCTTATACGAACTTGGTTGGATTCTCGCCCACAGCATATGATTGTTTCTCTTCTCGACTTCGTAGAAAAACTGGCCTATCTACGAAGCACAACTGTGGAAGTTGCCTGGGAAAATCCACGAGTTTGCTGCTTGTTGCAATGCCGAAGTCATGTCATGTGAGTTTTTTTCAATTACAAGGGATGCGAGATGCCTGATGCACTGTTGCTGCAGGCTCATGGAATGGTTTAGCACAAGAATTCGCTCCCACTCCCGTTGCGCATGCATCCGTTCCAGCAGATTGGCGGAGACCAGAAGCACGGCATGTGCCAGGGGGATCTGCGAAGCGCAAAGAATAAGCATGTCTTAGGATCCGTTTCCGATCTAGTTTCTCCGGACTTTCAACTCGCTCAGCCCTGGAGTTAATGCTTATTCTTTTCCTTGCCAAATCTGTTTCCTTGCAGCTTTATTTGTTTCGTACACTCGTTGCCTCTGTATCCTCTTTTGAATTTTGAAGGTTTCGAGACTCATACCTGCCAACTTTTTGTTCCATGGGGCTTGCGATGTCATCCTGCTGTTTCTCTCTGGAACCTTATGAACAGCAATCCTCGAGCATTCTCAGGCCTTAGCAGCTGCAATATCGTGTTCATTGTCTGGCTTTTGGATTTTGGGATTTCCCGTTGGCAACTTTCGTGGATTTCGTTGCATGAAGCTTGAAGTCTGCAAAAAGTACGGAGCAGAGTGCGATCCACCCGAAAGTAGCAACGGTCCCGGGATGTCCAGGGATTGTTGTGTACGCCAGTCCATTAAGGCCTTGCCCACGTTGTTTGTTCATACAGTTCCACACTTTGGAAACCACGTCGGTGATGTGCGGGCATAGTGCGAAGTTGGGCCTTTGCCGTGCCCAGAACTGGCGCTTGAATCCGTGGCTCTTTGTTTCCTGCGAGGACGCGACTGCTCAGGGAAAATACGGCTGTGACTAGGATTATTGCAACGCACCCCATTCCTGCAGCCTTGTGGATCCACAAGAACAGAGATCATCAGCGACGAATGAGGATTGCAAAGAGCTTTTGCCGTCCTTGGTTTTAACTGAGCCAAATCAGTAGGATTTCGTTTGGGGCTGTCATTGGATGTCGCTGTCATCTCTGTTGCACAGCCGACCTGGTCATCCTGTCAAGCTAGGCATTTCAGGGCTTGGACACTGAGATCCACCAATTCTTGTTACCCTTGTTTTGGTTGAAGCTTGAGTCGCGATTCTTGAAACTGTCGTTGGTGCTTCCAAGCTTTCAAACATGTGATTGAGGCTGCGAAACGGTTGCGGCATGTTTGTCTGTGCTCGGCGCATCTGGTCGGTTCCAGGATGAGCTGCTGCTGGAACCTTTGTTTGGGGGTGTTCAAGAGTCTCCTGTACTTGGGCACAGGAGGCCCTTTTCCACAGCACTGTGGGAAACTGTTGGATTGAAATTTGCAACCGGGATGTGACAAGCTCAATGGGCTATGGGAAAAGGATCTCACTTGCGCAATGTGTGGCTTGCAGACCAGAACAGATATGCCTTGCTGAATATTCGAAACACATCATATGTTGCATGGAGGGCTGTCACTTAGCATACACAACTAGCTTCCTTCAGAAGCCACCGGAACCTCTCTCAAAGAGCAACCTCTGACATACTGCGAGTGTTTGTCGAGCGGAAGAAGTATCTGCTAGACAGAGAAGGTCTCCCATGTGTGTAGGGTTTCTCACCCTCACCGCCACATGCAGCTGCTAGGCCATTCGCACAAGGCGGGGCGACATGGAGATCGCGAGTGAAAAAGGCTCAGCCAAGGCTTGTGTGCTTGGCTTTTGCTCAGTTGATTCTTGGAAGGAGGGCGCGGATGAGCTACCTCAAGTTTGTTTCAGTTTAAGAGATATGGGATGGGCTTGCCAAAGGTACCAGCACCGCGTTGATTGCGCAGATGTTTGGGAACATTTTCTGCTTGGGTGCGGTTGCGTAACTAGTATCCTCCAGCTTGTCCTAAGTCAGAATCGCAGGGCCAGGAGTGACCGCCCTGCTGCCCTCAGGTACAGATTTTCCGTTCAGAGATTGGGACCTCGGAGGTTGGTACTCCATCTGCTGGGCCCCTGAAGATTTTGTGTTGGGCGCTTCCGTTTTTCTTTGAGAAGGTGCTGTCTGCTGTTCTCCTTCTTAGGCAATGAAGATCATTGCCATCGTCCCGGAGGGCACGCAGGCCAGGACCCAAGGAGAGGTAAATGCCATTCGAAACAACATGGCCATGTGTAGTCGAGCAGAGTCTAATTGGTATCAGCACATTTGGAGCAGCAAATCTTGGAGTTGGAGATGATGCAATTGCATGATTGCAGTTCGGGACTAAAACCTTTCTGTCTGCTCTTGAACTCTGATCCTCTGGCAAAGCCATGTGGCCTACCCCAGAATCTTTTGCCTCGCATTCGCATTGAGAGACTGAGACTCAAAAAGATCTTATTGCCTTTGCAGGGAGCCGAATGGTGTTCCAAGTCCGAGAGGCAGCTTGTGCAACGTGTTTCTTGCTTTCCCGGCTCTGGAACTCGAGCATGTATTCTTAGCTGTCATGTTAAGAAGGACATTCAACCTTGTTTCGACAGTTTTTGTTGACAGGGAAAGAAAAGCTGCCGACGGTGTGGAAGGTTGGGTTCTTGCATGTCCGGTCCTTACCTGCGGCTTTGATGTACATAGAAAGCTGGAGGACACATTGCATGAGCCGCAATTAATCTGAAAGCTAATTCGCCGGGGCATAAGACTGCGCACTTTCCTTTTGCAGTTAGGGCCAACACTGCAGGTATGTAAAGGTGACTCATTAATGGGCCGAGTCCACTGTAAGGTCCACTGGACAGCACTCACAACGTTTTGGAGAAGATTACAGATGCTGGCGGAATTCGATCAGGCCCTGATGCGACGTTGCGCTTTTTCCTGGTTTGGACGCGGAACTCCTTTTGTTGTATTTAGACTTGAGACTCTGAAAGCTGCCCACAGAGTAGAAAGTGCCTGTCCTGCTTGTGTCATGTGCCCTGCATGCAAACATCCTAAGCCCACATGCCCTAAATCTGGGACATCCTGAGCTGATCAGGTCTGCAGTTGCACTACCACTTGTTCATGCAGGCAGGGCTTACCAGCACAGTTGCGTTGGCAAAGGGGCAATAGAAACTCAGGGCAAGCTTAGCAGATAGACGTTGAGGCTAAGGGAGAGTCTTGTTTCTCTGATCCTATGTGACACGGCAGCGTTTTACAGAGGCCAACGTGCAAACTTGGCTGTTGACTGCTTAGCCACTAGTGCGGTGTGAGCCCGAGTCCCAGCCTCCGATGAGAGCATTGCTCAGGGCTCAGGGCATAGAACAAGTTTCCAGTCAGCACATTGGAAGCTTTCTTCTGTGCACCACCGGATTCTCATGTAGAGTGGCCATTGACTTGGAGTGCACATGAAATTGGAATTCGCAACCAGTCGTGCCAGGGCAAGCATGGTTTGGGAGCCTTTGGGTTCGTTGTCTTGAGCTCAGCATTTTGGCATGCTTGGCGTAAAGCTGCTGAACTGCTCTAGCCTTCCGGTACCATCTCTATGCGACTTATCCAACATGCAGGCTTGTGGCATTGCGTAGGCCTCTCCAGACTTGCATGTAGCAGATTGGGCGATGTGCCTGTGCGCGCTGGCGTTGTTCTTGGATGGACCCTGCATCCACCTGCCAAACTGACAGACTGACCACAGGCACCATCCTCACCCTTCCATGCAGCAACCTGCATCAGCGTCTGAACGGAACGCTAATCGAGCTCAGGGTCCTTTTTGTGTGGCTCGCTGCATGTGCTGCGCGCGTGTGAGCACCAGCTTCTTATTTGCGGGGAGTGG